CTGTCCACCTKTAAATTTATTACCTAGATCCTTTTTGTTATATTGTGACCATTTCAGATGGTTTGATCCCCCTTAGATCTTGTTTGTTTAGAGGGTCAACATCCTGGTGGACATATTGTTGGCAGGGACCCCAGTACTTCTCTTTTTTCTTCCCTTTCTATTTCCTTCATTAATGCAGATCTTGGCTTATTGTTTTGCAGCCCTGATATTGTTAATTGCTCAGCAAGAACAGGATTGGATATGCTCACAAAGCATTACTTGGAGGCCAGTGGCTTTGACATTGTTTTCTTTCTACCAGACAGTGAAGAAGATTTTGCTTCCTACACAGAATTTCTTCGTTACCTGGGTGCAAAGAATCGTGCTGGGGTTGCTAAGTTTGATGATGGAACGACATTGTTCTTAGTGCCCCCATCGGATTTCTTAACCAAAGTTTTGAATGTCTCAGGCCCAGAGCGCCTTTATGGAGTGGTTCTTAAATTACCACAGCAAATGCCTAGTGTATCCATTCAACAACAGCAACTACAACCACCTATTCCTCCACCCCAGTATGTTGCAGGGCAACACTTTCCTCCTTTGCAAGCAGATTATAGTTTAATACCTCAGAAGGATGACCATATTTTACAAATGGATTATAATCGGGCATCACATGACGACTCGACACCTCAACCCCCCAAAGCTCTCTTACCATCTACAGATGACTCTCACGTAGTGCAATCTGTCCCTCAAGACTATGCAAGAAATTCTGCTCCAACACAAGTTGGAGTGTCTCTAACTCCTGAGCTCATTGCAACTCTAGCTGCTTTGCTACCTACAAACATGCAGCCTTCCCCTTCAACCAGTGCCCAGTTACCTTTAGGATCTTCTGCTCCAAGACCTTCATTTCCTGCCTCTGTAACACCTGATAAAGCAATACAATCACATGGATGGAGAAGTGAGCATCAAAATGCTGTTTCTGGTATTCTTCAGCGAACAGCAGAAGAGCAAACAAGTCATCCTTCCCAACAGTTGGGACACCAATTTAATACTCAGGCACAGCTTTTGTCTCAATTTCCAGCATATGCAAATGCAACGAATAGGCCTGACCAGTCTTCACAAGCTATCATTTCTAGCACTCAAAATCAAGATCCTTCTCTCCACATGCCACCGCAGGCTACAGTTTCTTCCAAACCACCAAGTAACTTTGTGATCCCATCCCAAGGACAGTATTCCATTCCCCAGCAATCTAACCAACAGTATCAACTTGATGCTTCTCATAATCCTCAAAAGAGTTATGGGATGGTACACACAACTGATGCTACTGGGTTGTATCATTCACCGGTCTTTCAGCAACCTAAGCCACCTGTTGGCTCATCTACTCAGGTTCAGGGAACGAATATGTCCCAAGCACAAGTAGCCACCTCGTTAGTAACTGACAAAGCAAATTTGGAGTTCCCAAATCAGGTGCAGCAACTACAATCTGCTCTATCTGGGGCTGCTCATGGAACACCAGAGGGTGAGGCAGATAAGAACCAAAGATACCAATCAACACTTCAATTTGCTGCTAGCCTTCTTCTCCAGATACAACAGCAGCAGCAGCAAACAAATGCTCAGGCAGTCCAGGGTTCTGGCAGTCATCAATAAGGCATATCTCCAGGTAAACATCAATACCTTACTACATGGATACTTCTTTCTCATTTATTTATTAGTTGGATAAGTTTTATTAATACCTTGTTTATCTTTTGCTAAGAGGTGGAATTTCTAACTTAACTTATCCAATATGTCAATTCTGCCGATTTAAGTCAGGAAATATATTATTTCAGCTTTGTATTTTATGTGATTTAGGATTCTAGAAAGTGTTAGTTATTCTTTACTACAATTTAAATTAACAGTAGTTCCTTTAGGGAATTTGTAGAACCTGAAGATTTTATGATTTTGATTTCTCTTTGGAAATATCAATTTTTTGGCTCATAGTTGTAAGTACTAATTCTGTAGATGTGAACTGAGGGGAGGGGGTGGCACCACCTAGATCTTTGGCATCCAAAGTAAACCCATTCGTCCATGTATTATCTAGAAGTTAACTTGAGAGTGTAGTCTTGAATGAGTTTTAATGATTGAAGTATAGTTCTTTTCTTTTTTGAACTGAGGGGAGGGGGGTGTCATCACCTAGATCTTTGGCATCCAGATAAACCCATTCGTCCATGTATTATCTAGAAGTTAACTTGAGAGTGTATAGTCTTGAATGAGTTTTAATGATTGAAGTATAGTTCTTTTCTTTTTTGAATGAGAACATTGTGCAAAAAATTCCTGAGGCTAGGTCCATATCCAGTCTTACTCCACCCTTCCCAAGACTCCGGTTAGCTGGGACCAGTATTTGGATGGTCCTCTTTCCTGAACTGAGACCATTTCTTGGGGAGCCTGATTTTAGGCCCTTGGGCAGCCTCTACACAACGTACAACATTTCCACCACATGAAGTGATGATGTAGCTGATCCAAACCAGGCATTGGATTGGCCACATGTTCAATCTTGTATTCAAAGTATTAACTTTTTAGAAGCTTTACAATTTTAATATATAAAAAACTTGTCCATGAAAATGGCTTATTATTGAGATGTGGTAAGGGTTTTTGGGCTGAAATATATATATATATATATACATATATATATATATTATCAATAACACCAGCTTCATTAAATTAAAAGAAAAGAGGGAATATGGATACAAGAGGGGAGAGAAAATATCTTATCTCCCCAATAACAGAAAACAAAGGGAGTACAAAGAGAAAAGATTAAAAACTAGCCCAAAATACGGACTCCCTATTCACACCTTGCTTAGCCAACCCATCCGCAAATGAGTTGGCACTCCTCTTCACCTAGCTGTATTGAATCTCATTGGCCCTACCCAGCCATAAGAATTGTTTTTTTTTCATTGTTAAAGTTCCACAAACCACTGACCTCTGTCTTCAACCAACTAACCACCACCTTCGAATCACCTTCCAGGATCAAACGGATGATATTTAATTCCTTTGCTCTTCGAATTCCTTCAAGCACTGCAAGGATCTCAGCCCTAAGAGAGTCACCTTCTCCAATAGGGCCAGAGAATAAATCARTAACAATCCCTTCCTCATTCCTGAAAACTCCTCCAATCCCAGAGGGCCCTGGATTCCTTACACCGCTGCCATCAAAATTCAGCTTTATAAAGCCTGAGGGGGGAGGGGACCAAAACAGACAAAGAGCCCTCTTGCATCTAGCAATGGAAGCAATCTCTTTCCAGTTTCTTAGCAAGTCATCCACAGGAAAATCTGAAAACAACTCCAAAGATTTTAGCTAGTGGACAACCCTTGAAAGGATTCGATTTAACAATTCTTCCAATGTTCTTTCCTTGTTGGAAAAAATACGTGAGTTTCTTTCTTCCCACAAAGACCAGCATACCGCTGCCCTAATACACCTCCACAAAGTCTTCCCTCGCTTCCTAGGCCAACTGAAAAAAGGAGAAAACAAACCTTGGACAGTCTCCAGAGGATACCAAGAACACCCAAAGCGGGAGAAAACACACTCCCATTTAGGCTGAAATATATTCTATGAATAAAGGCTGACAAGGGGGAACATGTTGGGTTTATTTAGGCTCCCAAACTACTTTGGCAGGTGGAAGATTCCTGGGTCATTTAGGGAAGCTCATTAAACGACCCAAATAGCAAACCTCCTTGCAATATAGTTAATTTTTTCAAAGGTGTTGATGGGTTACAAGTGACATTTTTTTGGCCAAAAAAAAAAAAAGACAAGTGACACTTTGGTTACAACTAAGCAGGAATGGAACCACTATTTTTTTATTATTATCAATTCTTACTAGCTTTATAGTCAACCGTGGGGCTTAGGTTTTATGTTTGAACCCAAGAAACTGTAGCTTGGAGCAGAAGCAAGAGTTAGTGTTGGAAGTGATTGTTACAATGCCAAATTTAAGGAAGATTAAGAGCATTTTAGGAGCTTGTGTCCATGTATGTATTGTGATTAAATTTATGTTCACCAGAATATTTTCCTTATTAAATAAATATTTCAGTGATTGCTCTAAAGATTAATTATAACAAACATCCTTGTGTGGATTGTAAGGTAATATCCTACTTCTTTTATTGGAAGCAAAATAATATATACTAGTAATGGGAAGAGACATGGATTTTCAATTTTCTACTTTCCATGCTATTAAAGAGCTTTTTAGGGCACTAGGTGTAGAAATTTCCTTAGATTTTGAGTGTTTTTGAAGGATTGCCTGTGTAAAATTTTCCTTCTTAAACAGATATGTTGGTGGTAATTCTAAATATACCATTATCCGAATATAGAAAACTAGTAAGAGGTAAGAGATGGTATGCTATTGTTTTAACTAATACACTGTTAAAAGGGAGAGCTAGAGGCATGGGGGAAAGGTTATTAACCCATTATCCATCTTCCCAGCTATTATGTTTAAAATTTGTTATGTGATACTATTAGAATTCTTTTTTCCTAATGCACTGAGGAAAAAAAACAGAAATGGTAGCTTTCTTCCTATTATCTGGAAACATGATAGATTTGTGGATCATAATCTGGTGGTTTTGATTACGGAGCTCCTGATTCTATAAGCTTAATGATTTTCCCTATCTAAATCCAGAGGTGCAAGTTGTACAGCTCATTTTTGGTTCTGATTGAACTGACCGACCCTTTTTAAAACCCTTAGAGCCCTACTTGTTTTGAAGTAGACAATCCCTTCTAGATTGGTATCAACTCAGTAGTGTTTTAAATGCAAGAAACTCAACTGAGTCTTCAAGGGAAAAACATGAAGCTTCAAAGGGATCCATTGGGCCTGAGGCCAAAGGTGCAAAGGAGAGGTGCATGCCTGATTGATGTGAGTGCCACTTTTGAAAAAGAAAACAAAAGAACAAGCTTTACATATAAAGATAACTTATCTAGATTCTGGAGCAATAAAATATTTCAAAAGGCCTTTTAGAAATTGGTTAAGTAATGTGTTATTATCATTATGGTTGTGGACTTTTTATGTTGGAGCATAAGCTAAACTGTGTGATCTCCAACATCATAGATACAGCTTGCAATTTAGTAAACTATGTTTGCTACATCAAATTGAAGGTTTATTTATCAAAACTTAGATACAACAAGAGAGGTGAATCTAGATTCAGGTGTGACAGTGACACTACATAAATGAGCCTAGGCATGTTCAGAGTGCTCCTTTTAGAACACAATTGAAATTCATTCCGTCATTACTTCTCCTTTTCTGTACGTGTTTATTGCTTGTTTGTATTCACGTATGTAGAGATAGTGGTTATTGGCAGAATTCTGAAAGTATTTCTTGTTTATCATTGCAATTTATGCTTTTCCCTTACCATTGAGTGTTGTTATCTATAGTTATTTTTGAGGCCTTCTAAGTAAATTTGATGTATTGCGAACTATAACTCTGTTACACTGAATAATTTGTTTCTTATTCTGAATGACTCAAGTGGGATTTTGGTCAACTTTTTGTTAACGTTTGCAATTGATCAATGGGTTACATGTAATATTGAAGGAAATCACATAACCCGTAAATCTGCATTAGATTGCAAGGATAAATGTGTGAGAAAAACCTGGGTCAGCCGTGTCAAATTTCTGTATTAAATATGATTATAGGGATGAATTAAAAAAAGTTCCTTTGTGACAAACTGGAATTGTCCTGTGGCCAACCTACAAACATTATGCATGTCTTTAAAAGGATGAGTCACTAACAAGATTTGTGGCTTAATTGGTGGTTGCAAAACGACTACTCTTGGCTCAGAGCCTCAGAGGTATTACTTTATGTACCAATGGGCTCCTTTGTGATAAATTTAAACGAAAGTCTAGCAATGTAGGATAGATTATGCGTGCTATATGGAGACACCAAATTTCAAATTCCGTTACCCATGAAAAAAAGTATCAAATTCCATCTATACCTGGGATTGGGTTTCTAAAAGAAACACTAAATAATGAAGAGTCTAGAAGCGCTTTTTCTAATAAGCGTGGATCCCCCCATCATGTTTTACTGTCAGTGATTCCTATAAAACGGAGGCAAACATTAGAAATCAATTAGAATGTTACTCAAATAAAGTTTTGTTTAATCCATATATCAAGGTGGTCATCATTTTTCCTAGTGTTGACTTACAACTGTCGTTAATCTGAGGGTCATCAACATTTTTTTCTTTTTAGGCAATTAGATAAAAGGTTAAAAAAATAAAAGGCCTCCCATACCAAGAAAAATATTTAAAAAAGCATAAAGAAAAAGAAAAAAACAATGTGTGCTGCAACTCTACATTTCCCAGCTAAATTAAATTTGAGGAATCTCTTTGTCGTTAATGCAATTAGATGGCAGAACTCGAAAAATGTTTAGAATTCTTAATTAACCAATTTTGTTAGTCATTCATCGTCTTATCCATTTGGCAAATCCACCAGTCTTACCATATTTCTGGAAAAGTGGAGTTTGTTGTGTCCTATGATCTTCAAAACGCGTTGGGGTAGCGTACTTGTTTGTGGTTTCTTCTTAGGTTTATATCTCTTGGGAACCAAGATCATGTCTCTATAGGTTGTATGATTTAGAACATTCGGTCAAGTTGTCAAAGGAATCTATGGACATAGAGATGGTCTAATGGTTACTGGTGTTGATTACAGTCAAACTACTAGGCAAAACAATATTATTATAAAATTTTTGATTTCTTCCTGATAATTCTCGTCTTGCATATTCCCCTACGCGTTCTATTGCCTCTGTAATGAACGCATCTCACATTTGGAGATGGTTAATATTCTTGTCTTGCTCTTGTAAGCTGTTCATCTATGTATGGTTAATATGATGCAGCTTTCTCCGTCTTTGTTGGAAGGGCGGTTGCGTATAAAACCCCTGCAGATTCGGATGCATTCATAGATGCCATGGGTTATTAGATCCCTACATTGAAGGCCGGGACGGTAGAGATTATCTAATAGAAATCCTAGATATGGTTGTGATATTACTACATACATCATACATGGTAAACAATCAGAGAGGATCCGATCTGTTGACCTCATTTTCCAGGCAGCTTCTTCTAAGTTTTGACTTTTGATCATGTTGAGAACTCAATTAAAACATAAAAAATCTCAACAACCCAAAATCTGGAAGTGAAAAAAAATCACGTGTGTGCTAATGGTTTGATTTGCAGGTGATTAGATCTTATGCTCATGGCCAACATAAAAAATAGTATTTCCTTTCATTGGTCTCAAAAGACAGCACAGGTCACAATGCCGAGGTAGTTTAGTACAGAACCAATATCTGCTTTCATTAGGGAATGGCCACGTTGAGCGTTGTTGGCTTCTGGTAATTGTTTGGGTTTACCACTTACCAGTAGTTGTAATGAGTGTGTTCCTTTCAACTAACTGACGTTCTCAAATGACGTTATTCTGAGGTGAGGTGTTCTGAGGTGAGGTGGACGTAGACAACTCAAAAGTTCCTACAAAAGGATTAGAAGAACACTAGAAGTATGGAACAGCAACAGGGTAGTGCTTCGTTTGCCTATTTTTGCTTTCAAATAAAAGCCCTATTGACCAACGATATTCACTCAAAATTCTGCCGGTGCCAGAGCCCATCATCGTCACCGTATATAGACAGGAATAAGGGGAGGTTTAGAGGGTTGTTAGAGGTGAATGATCCTTTCTTTTATGTTTTCTTTTGGTGGTCTTAAAATTAAATTTGCATCGCATATCGTTGCTTATTGTTTATTGTTTTCACAAGTAAATTAGTTTGTCAATCTCTACAAAATAACAAAGAGGTATGACCCTAAATCCCTAATTATCTAATCTAACCCATGGTTTTCACTTCTCGGGATTTGTAGGCTGGTCTGGTTTTTCTCGGTGAAATGCGAGCGGACGTAGAAGTTGCGTTGCGTTGTTTTGGTTAACTTCTTGAAATGGAATCAAATTGCGCTCCGTTTGATCATATCGCATCAGGCAATGAAATCTCCCGTTTCCGTATTGGTTGTCTTCAATGTTTTGGTAGTTAGGCTATTAAATATTTAAATGGCATGGCAATATGTTGAGCAAATGCTGCATGGTTTATATACCTCTTGTTTTCTTTTAATTCATTTATCTCTTCTTCCTTTCCTCAATTCCTTTTCGATTTCAAAAATCATGATATTCCTTCAACGCAGAATGACTGTACGGGCCAGGGTCAGCAAATAGGGGAAACTTTTTGTTCCCTTAAATAAATGGAAAATACAGGAAGGATATGATATCTGAAAAACTTTTAACTAATCAACTGTTATGTATCAAAATTCACGGGAGGGTTTTGATTGGTCAAAGTTTTTTTTTTTGCAGAATAGTTTTTCCCAAAATAAAAAAAAGGGATGAAACCTCCCTTTTCCGGGGATAAAGGGTTTATTTGTGGGGACTTTCTTGGATTGAGATGGCTTTAATTTCCCCCGTGGGAAGGATCACTCCTTTTAAACGGAACTAAGGTCAACTCCAGAAAATACCATGTGATCGAAAGGCAACTCATCATATGATCCCCATATGCTAAAACAAATCATAATTGTAAACCATTTATGAGAATAATAACTACTCCAGAAAACAACTGTTTATACATCTTATCGCTGTACTGCGATCTGCGACTGTATCAATACTTCAGCACTTGCTGATCTGGTCGTAGCTAAATATCGGGGGTCATGGCCTCATGAGAGGAGCCTGGCCGCCTGGTTTCGTTAGTTTGCAGAAAGCCAGAAAGGCAACAGGCACAGCAAAACAAACCCAAGGGCCAATAAGCTCAGGATTTTTTATATAAAATATTAAAATTTTGTAAGTATAAAAAAGAAAAAGAGATGGTGAAATTTCTAGTTTTTTTTCTCTCTCTCTTGGTTTGCAAATATTCGGATGAAGTGATAACGATATCCATGGAAGAACTCCTGACGTGATTGGAGTTCACCAGTTCTGACCTGCATGGAGTTCTCTCCCAGCCTTATCTCCACCTATTCTAATTTTAACTTCTGTATTATCTAGTTCTATTGTGACTTATCTTGTAACAACCCAGTAGGGTTTGATTATTAACCTTGTACATAAACCTATTCAATGAATCTTCTATGAGTGTGAGTTTAAACTCAAATCATATTTCATTCATAGTATCAGAGCCACCGTCTCATAACATCGACATGTCCAACAGTTCAAGCAGCTCGGACGAGATGACCATCCCTCTCAGGCTTCCTTTGACACTTCCAATCTTGTCTTTGCCGGAGGGGCAATATCATCTAGGTGAAGATGGATGGCTGAAACTACCTACTATGGTGGTTTCATGTCCTACCCATTCTCAATGGTTTGGAACTCACCGGAGCTGTTGATGGTACTCAGAAGTGCCCTCCTCGCTCATCGGAAAACAACTCGACCACCAACCCCGCCTACTTGGATTGGGTCAAGCAAGACTAGTTGCTGATGAGTTGGCTTCTCTCATACTACATGAAACCTCTGATCACACAGTTAATTGGATGCACTTCCTCTCATGAAGTATGGTGCACACTTGAGAACCTATATGCCTCCAAGTCTTGATCTTGTATCACCCAACGCAGGAATGAGTTGCTCGTTCTCAAGAAAGTTCCACCAACATGTGGAATTATCTACAGAATGTCAAGAACATTTCGAACAATCTTAGAGTAATGGGCTGTCCTCTATCTGTATTGGAACTCACTACACCCTCAATGTTCTCGGAGCAGAATATGATCCTCTCGTTACCTCCATTCAAACTCGGTTAGAGGATATCTCATTTGATGATTTGCAATCTCTTCTTCTCAGCCAAGTGTGCCCCTTCCATCTGCAAACTTTGTCAGTAAGAACTTACCTCATTAAAAAATCGACAACATGACAAAGAGACAAAGCCTACAACTGGAATTAAGGTTCAAAAAATCGTTATGTATTGACCGATACGTATCATATTGGGAGCACCCCAATACACTCCTACAGAGGGTGTATCGGGGTTTTAACCGGTTCAGGGGGTGGAGGAACCTTAAACTGCCCCACTGAATCGGATTTGAAAAAAAAAGTAAGAAAAAAAAATACCTATACTGTCCGATACACCTTTACCGATGTATCGATATTTAGAACCTTGGTTGGAACCACCAAATCCAAGTACGCAAACAACCCTTGTCAGATCTATAGAGGTAGAAACCACTCAGCCTTTCGGTGTAGAAACTGATATAACAAGGATTTCAAACCAAAACCTTGTAAGTCTAAATGCTTATCCTCACCAGCTGCATACAATGCCTTCACTAATGGGTCCGGTCTAGCTGCAAATGATAGTTAGTATCCCGATGCAGGGGCAACCAATCTCCTCACAGCAGATCTCAACAAGCTTCAGATTCATTAGGATTATACTGGGCCTGATGAAGTAACAGTAGGTAATGGAGCACGTTTGTCTATTTCTAAGCTTGGTTCTTTTGTGATTCATACAACTTCTTGTGCTCTGCACTTACGAGATATTCTTCATGTTCCCCACATTCAAAAGAATCTGTTTATCTATAGTTCAGTTTGCTTGTGATAATGATGTATACTTTGAATTTCATCCTCATGGATGTCTTGTTAAGGATTGACACATGAGGAAAATATTATTCCACGGGACGAGTAAAGATCAAACCCCACTCGATGGTTGGCATTCCAGACTTGGTCATGCATCTATTCCAGTAGTCAAACAAGTAGTTGCACAACATCGTCTACTTATTTCATTAGATCGGTCTTCTTTCTGCACCTCTTGCCCACTTGGCAAGTATCATCTTCATTTGCCGAAGTCTAGTTCTTCTTTTTCTTCTCAACTTGAATTAGTTGTATCGGATCTCTGGGACCCTGCCCCATTGATTCAGTTAATGGATTCAAATATTATATTTCCTTTATGGATTGCCTCAGTTGATTTGTATGGATCTTCCCATTATTTCAGAAATCTGATGCTTTATCTGTCTTCATCAAAAAATTACTTGAGTCTCTATCAATAGGTTCTAATCGGATGACGGGGGAGAATTTCACAAATTTATTGATTATCTGGCTAAACATGGTATCATCCATCGTTTTTCTTGTCCTGGAATTCCTGCACAAAATGGCAAAGCAAAGAGAAAACACTGTCTAGGGATGGCAATTTCCCCATCCCCAATATGGATTTGACTTCTGGGTCAGGGAATGAAGATTGTTCTGGCGGGGTGGAGACAGGATGGGGATTAATAGGAATCCCCGATTGGAGTCAAGGTCAGGGATGGGGATTGAGGTCCCCGCCTATATAAACATATTTAAAATATTATTTATAATGAGTAAAATTATTTTTAAAAAAATATTGTTATCTAAAAAAAATTTCAAGGATTTGAGTCCCCATGGGGAACCCATCCCCGTTGGGTATTGGGGATAGAGGACAAATTTTATCCCCAGTGGAGATCGGAGACGGGGATGAGGGTTAATTTTAGAATTGGAGGCGGGGATGGATAATATGATCTCTGCCCAAAACCCATCTCGTTGCCATTCCTAACACCGTCATACTGTAGAGACGAGTCTTACCTTAATGGCTCATGGCTCGGTTCTCAAGATGTACTGGTATAAGGCGTTTGAAACGGTATTGGTTCTCATCAACCGACTTCCCATACCACTATTGCATGGGAGATCTCTGTATGAGTTATTGTTTCACAAGCCCCCGGATTATGCCTTTCTCAAAATGTTTGGATGCCAAAGCTTTCACTGCCTTCGACCTTATCCATCCCAATAGATGGCAGATTGATCAGTGGCTTGTGTATTTTTTGGATACATCTCAGTTCATGTCACCTTTAATGAATCTCATTTCCCCTTCTTGTCAGCCTCCTCTCCTCTAGCTTTGTGAACTCAGTTTCAGACTCCTTTCTTTTCATCTATCGGTTCGGTGATTAGATTGTGCTAGCTCTTCTACATTAACGACATTATTCTCACAAGGTCGGATGCCTCCTTTATATCCCACATTCTCTCTGCCATGATGAGTTCCCACTTTGCTCTTAAGACACTTGGGCAATTGAATTATTTCTTAGGCCTTGAGGCCACTCGCTCCTCGATTGGGTTGTTCCTAGGCTAGAGATCGATGTTATATGGTAGACCTTCGTCAGTCTCTCTCTCTCTCTCTTGATGGGGCCAAACCAATTAAAACCCCTATGGCTACCTCAGTCTCTCTCCCCAAATGGGATGGTGACCCACTGCCTGATCCCACTCCTTATCGCAAAGCAGTTAGCACACTTTAGTATTTACGTATCATCACTCACCCCGACCTGGCTTATGTGGTGAACAAGGCATGTCGGTTCATGTACTCGCCCACCACAGCCAACTAGGGCTTTGTGAAGCGTATTTTGAGGTATGTCAAGGCCACTCTCCACCACGGTCTCTTTATCAAACCATCATCTTCACTTCAGCTCCATGTATTCTCATATTCGGATTGGGCTGGCTTCCTGATGATCGTCAATCACAACGTGGCTATTGTGTGTTCTTGGGCCCCAACATCCTTTCATGGTCGTCCAAGAAACACACTTTTGTATCCTGGTCCAGCACTGAGGCTGAATACCGGAGTTTGGCACTGGCTACATCAGAGGTTATTTGGACCCTCTCTTCTCAAAGAACTCAGAATTCAACCCACATAACCTCCCATTCTATGGTGTGATAATATCGGAT